TATTGAATCATCAGTATGTTAAATTGTTTACTTTACTTGAGTTGAATTTCAGATGAATTATTAAAACATTAAACAGTAATGGACCAAGCTCAACTTGCCACCTGCCTCTAGGCTTAGCACATGACAATGTCGAGGATCAATCACATACATCAACGTGATTATGTCACATGACAATGTCATGGATCAATCACATACATCAAGGCGATTATGCCATACAGAATGACAATACCCATGCATCTATTTCTAGATTCTTTGTATAAATATTGCTTATAAAGGCAGAACTCATGCAAACTTTTTATTAATTATTTGTTAAATATTTAAAATCTTTCAAGTAATTTCAGTGATAGAGGAAAGATGAAGAAAGAAGAAAAAGTAAATAATAATAAAAACTGATGGCAATGGAGGCAAGATGAGAATAACTATGTAGAAGAAAAAAGTAAAGAATCATACATGGGAAAAAAATGAAGGAAAAAAAAATTGATAGCCAAGACTTGCAAATGGCAAGATATATGAAGATATATAATTATTTATTTATGTGTTCTTTCAAACCAAGTTCAATGTCACATGATTTATCAATTAATTAAAAATCATAGAAAACCTTCAGAAAAATGCATTCTAATGGCAAAAATCACAAGATTAATAAATAATAATAAAGGTCTTACATAACGCATACTGTAGGGCCCGCTATGTGATTACCATTATTACCCCCGGTCATTGGATCAAGCACAAATGGAACACATACTTAGGTTCTTGAGAAGAATTCCATGTTGCAGCTGTAATCAGCGTATTTTGTGTGAACCTACCAGCTAGGCCACTTTTACTCAGTCGGTAGAGCAATCAAAGTGTGCTGCTAAACTCTGCAAACCCTGCAAGCCTCCAAAAACCTCTCGTAAATGCCTACATATCTAAATCAGCGTTCCGCAAACCTTTGGCTCACAACCAGCAGACCCCTTAGGCACAGATGTGTAAGTCGGGAAGACCCAGACCTACATCATGCATACCTCATGCAACGCATTTCATTGTATTTTACCCGCCCTGGTTTTAGTATAGTTGTCATTAAATTTTGATTAATTATATTAATAAAATATTATCGTTACATAGTCAATGGTCAATGGTTGTGCACTTAACATTAGTCTATGCACTCTCCAGATCAACAAAAAAGGGAAAAAAAATACATGAATAATAATTGAAACAGAAAAGTAGTAGAAAAGAAAAGCAAACAAAAAGTAATAGAATGGAAAATCAACACAAAAGTGAAAAGAAAACAAAACATGTACAAGTTTAACACTGATTATTATTTTAAAAACTCATTTATATGTGTAGGGTACTAATGCCGATATAATGATTGTGAAAGACTAGAGCTACTGTATAATGATTTCTGTTAAGTTTGACCCATGACCCATCAAAATATTTTGGCAACCCACTAGTGCATCTCCACCAACAGGTTTTTAGTAGGTTTAGCAATACCTCAATCAAACGATAAGGGTCTTAAGTTATAATACTAATTGAGACAATTTAATCTTGTTGATAAAGATAATTCTATTGATATTTATTATGATTCGTTTAGAATGTTTAAACGTAAAATTAAGTTATATATTTAGATTTTTTTTGTGTGTGTAATTGTAACTAAATTTTTCTTTATTGTTCTCTTTGTTTTATGTTATTCTATTCTTAAGTGGCAGGCTCCCTGCTGTTTGATTGAAATGAAATAAAATAAAATTTAAAAAAAATAAAAAAAATAAATTTTCTTGAAAATATTATTCACTATTCACCATTCTAAATGCAAATGCAAAATATTATGTCATAAAATAAATATTACAGTATATATAAAAATTAAACTGTGTAATATTGATAAAATAGTCATGTAATCATTATGGGAAAAAAAATGTATACCTCATAATTTCCATTATGACATTCAAATTCAATTAAATATTAATGCATCAGATATTTTAAATTCATTATTAAATATGGTATTCCATTTGGATATTAATATCTCCAATTTGGGAGTCTATTACTCTGGAAGAATATATGAAATTGCTGCAGTTTTAAAGTATCATACAGTCCCTACTGAAATCTAAAACAGCATTCTAGTAACAGTTCGAGGATTCAAGTTTCAATTGTAGATACTTAACATAGAAATAGGATCACTGAATTAATTGAGAAAATTGTGTTTTATATTCCTTTGCTTTCATCTACATAATGTTTGAAATATCAAGGGTTATAGACATTCACTGGGGGACAATTGTAATTTAGTACGTTATCTGAAAGCGCTGGGCTTTTTTTATCTTTTGTCTTCTTTGGTTGTTTCTCTGGAATGAAGATGGCAATTTGATGTCAGAATGTATGATACTATAAAACAAATCATGGTAAACTTATGATACATTTGAATGAGGTTTGTCCCTTTTTTTGTGAAGTTCATGACCTCTTCACAAATCCCTTTGATCTACCCCTCCCACATATTTGACAGATGCCATCAATCTGTATTCAAGGCATGTCATTTTTTTTTAAAGTTTAATTTAACAGTCTCTGATAGGCCAACCAACAGCTACTCAAGATGTATCCTTTTGGTCAAGTGGGTGAGATTGATCATTTGCCAGGCAAGATTGATCATTTGCCAAACAGAAAATTGTACGATAGTTGAAGATCATAACTTATTATTTAAATTTACCATTCTATTTCAGAATATAAGGTAGCCATAGACAATATATTCCATACCAGAGAAAAACAAGAATAACAAAAACACTATACGACAGCAAATAAAACTAAACTATAGTCTATTTGTAAAACAAAACAGGGTTTTCCTCATTGAAATGATGAAATTATAAAGTAAACAAAACCAGTAAAATAAATTGTGGCAAAGACAAGCCAATGTTTAGTCATTAATACAAGGTTAAACAATAAAATAAATTTATTAAAGATAAAAAAAAAATAATTTTCGTTGTCAAGTTGCAGGGTTTAAACATACAGCTGTGTAATAGCAGTATATGAGCATTGAATCAGCCTTTATAGTTTACAATTTTTGAGAAATCTCAGAGACCATCTCCAAATCATTGAAAAATATTGTTTTAACATTGAAAATGGGGAAAATCAACATAACATGATGTATAGATATATAAGGGTTAGGGTTAAAAAAATATGTCATTTCAACATGTTTTGGCCATTACCTCCGAAACATGATTTGTAAGGATTGACTGGTTTGGCTGGTCTTCACCACACTTAGGAATAAAAAAATAATTATATGAAAAAAAAACACAATGATACAGAGACTCAAACTAGGGGTGCAAACCATAGGCTTAGCCAGCGAGCCGTAGGGCCGTCCAACAATTATTTAGGACGGCCACTTTTACCGTGACAGCTGGATGGCTTGGCCTAATCAGCTTGGCCTAGCCTAATTGGGCCTGGTCTACCTTTAGCAAATTCTTTATATTCTTCAAATCTATGGAATGTTACATTAACCTAAATCATATTTACGTTTGATAAAAACAACCTCTATTAATTGAATGTTTTCATACCAATATTCGGTGGGGAATCCCAAAAATGTAAGGGTTAACCATTGTCTACCCGGCGAAAAGTTCACTTACAATACGCGTCGTGTTTAAAACATTATATACCCCGCTGAGATTCAAATTCCCCCGACATAATATTGTTGGTGTTCGTAACTCTCTGGTTATATTTAATTCATGAAAGTTAAATTTGATTAGTCAACAAAATACAGTAGGTCTAGTCCTATCTCTCGATTCGGAGGACCTAGAGTAGAATTTACACTAGACTAAGGCGAGAGATTAAGATGCATCTGCATAGAATGGAAACATTATGTTAATGTAGTCGTGCACAATCTATGTCTCTGAAATGTCTTTGTGATAGCTAATTCAACACTATTCCTTTAAAGACAAAATTCCAACATTTAAACACTTTTAAATGCTCTCTAAAGATCATAATTTTCTTCTTTTTTTTTTCTTATGTTTGGGAGGGGCGTGGCCCGCCAATCGACCAAGGGCCATGCCCACTGGCTTCCATTTTGGATGGCCTATTTCGTTTTTCTGGCTAAACCCCTTGTGCAAACCGACTGGTGAGGATGAAGTAGAATTCAATATAACCCAAACCTATAAAGGTCAGTGGATATTTAATCTACCTACCTTGCGTAAATTTTATAGGTTGAGGGTGAAGAATGTTTATGCTTACTAATAATGTATTCTATGATTGTTCTTGTATTTTTTTTTGCATTCATCAATTTACCATGTTTCTGACAGTCTTCAACCAATTTTTAGAGTATGTTTAAGATATTCCTCATTGCATTTTACTGTATTCTCATGCATTTGTTATCCATTGTCAATTCTCTTCTCATTTAGTGTATTCAAATTATCGAAAAGTAATCATGCTTCTACAAAATTTAACATAAATCATATTTATAAGTCATGACAGAAGGAGTTTGCATAACATCCACTAGGAAAAATCATGCATTATGCAATATATTTCCATAAATGTCAAACAGGAACAATTTTCTGCTTTTCAGAAAAATTTTCAGCCCATTTGTAGTTACCGGTAATTATTATAGTTTTTAAGAAATGGTACATGAATCAGAACAGTTGGAATTGACACTATTACTAGAAATAGACTAGAATTGTTTGATTGTTTATCACTAAAAATAAAGCTAATATTTGTAAGTGCATCCAGAATTCATTAAAAGTTTTCCAAGGCAGGTAGCTTTTGTTGTGATTGGTCAAACCAAATGACCAATCAGGTAATTCAGATTTAATTTGTCTTCTTTCCTGGTTGGCAGGTCATTCACATATTACTAGTACTACGTTATACTCTCGCATGTGTTAATTAGTGCCTACAATACTTGTGGGACTGTACTTACCTTTTTGCGCGACATACTTTTATATTTCCTATTTATAACACACTTTATGATTATTGAATGGAAAGAGGTTTTTCCTCTTTGACATTCCAAGGTTATATATTAGTTCAATTTTGTGATAAAGTTTATCATTTTTACTTACAAGCATTTTCTCTGAAAATTCACACTGGTAGAGTGTACTGACAAGTTCCTGGAAAACGAAGAATTGATTAATTGATTAACTATTTAAGAATAAAATTCAAAATATATAACAAACTTGAAGTAATTAAAGCCATATATGATTACCATGACAGAATTAAAAATCCATCAAGAAAAATGTCTTGATTGTTTACCTGTATATCAACTATTCACAAAACAATCCATATTTAAAATAGATTAAGGCCTATTTCAGACTAGGTCGGGTAGATAATCCCAGCTCAACTTACCGGGTTTATGTACCTTCCAGTCTTAATTAGGTGACTTATCTCAAGCCGGGTGTTGTTCCTATACTAGCGTGCCACCCGGTTTAAATTTTCTACACAGGACTTTAATCGCTGCGGGGGTCCTCGGATAAAAAATTAACAAATCAGCATTCAATTATGTCTGCTGTGAGCGAACGTACATCACGTATGCACATCTCGTACGCAATGTTTTACAAATCATTTCCTGATTCCGGTTCATAAATATGTAAATTCTCACACCTGGCTAATTCAGCTGGTCTGAACGCCCGGCAAAGTTAAGCCAGGCTTAACTTTGAGCCAGGCTTAATGTACAGTAAGCCTGGCTTATCTCCAATTCTGAATGTAGCCTGTAATAAATGAATGATTAAAAAAAAAATGAAATATTCATATTAAAATATCAATATTCAAAATTGATGTATAAATATTCTAATGAAATTAATGCTGATAGAAAAAAATCAGTACACTGTTGATAAGGAAATTCAGTTGGAAATCATCCATAAAATTCAAATGTTTGTCTCTTTCTGTATAAGTTAGTCTGCAGCAAAAGTGCACAATGGACTAATCCACTAAGCCCCACCCCTTATATTGTTGCTAAGGTCCCATGTATTCCTGGCCTTGTTATGATTGGTCAGTTGTTGAGTTTGATTGACAGTACTCTGGAAAGGTGCATTGTTATCGATCTTTGGTCCCTTAGGGAAAATATTCCAAATTTATAGCAATTTTTTTGGTCAATTGTTGCACAGTTTCTACTTCCTACTCATGTTCTACCGCCATGATTCAAGAATCAAAATTCAAAATAACTTTATTGCAAATTTAAGGAAAATTTGAAATGTATAGAATAATTTAATGTAATAATATTAAAAATATGTAAAATATTCAAAATACTCCAGTTAAATTAGTTAAAATAAGGAAGCAGGAGGACACATTACAATATTAACATACAAAAGGAAAATGTATAAAATTTTAAAAACCAAAAAAAATTAAAAAGGGGATAAATAAGGGAGACATACAAATGAGCAATTATATTGAGCTGAGTATAATACTGGATGGAATGGAATACTCCATTCCAGAACATAAAGGTTGACAAATTTCTCACAGGTCTACTACCGTACGTGAGTACCCCTTGAAAATTTAACTCCCGAAAAGATTATAATTTTTGCAAAACAATCATTGAAGCCTTTATGATGAGTTCATACAAGGCTATCACAGAAGGCTATCATACTGTAATTATTCTCAAAATGAGAATGGAGAAGTATGGTCCGAAAGTACAGTTGAAAACACATTCTATGGTAATTTTGTCCTTGTATTTTTTACTCATGAAATGTTAATGTTGGTTTGATTGTATTCAACAAAACATATAGGAAATATAATATCAAAGAATAAATAATACAAATAACTCTTAGTTTAATTGCTTTTAAGATTTAGCATTTCGGAATATGTTGTCCTCTACTGATATAAATATTAGAGCATTGAACTGTATAACCTCAACTGTATAAAGTTATTTTCTGCAATTTTTTCTTATTTTTTTCGGAAATTAGTTCCATTACCACAAATATAAATAACCATATAAAAATACTTTGGTGTGAAAAAACATTGGCTATTGTTACACTAGTCGTAATTCAATTTCTAATCCTGATTGGATGTTAAATTGTCCTAATCTACTCCATACATACAACATCAATTCAGCATTAGGATTGACAGTTGTAACAATAGCCACAGCAAAAAAGTTTCTGAGATAAATATTTCAAAGATAGGCCTATACCCATTTGTTCATTTTTTTTTTTAAAGTTCAAAGGTCAATTTTAAGTACTTTCCCTCTCCAAAATGGCAGAATATTTTAGGTGTATATTATTAATAATCATCTGAAAATCTTTTGTTATTAAAAGATGAACCAAGATTTTCCTATCTCTTTTATCTTCCTTTACGAAAAAATCCATTATTTGCTTTAGTTTTAAAAAATATTTCTCATTTCGGATCCTTTACGTAATTTTGATAGATGTTTCCCAGAAGGACTCACTTTTAATTTGAAGACAAGAACAAAATTATGAAAGAAATGAATTAGTTTCTATTTATAGATTTGAAAACCCGAAGCATCACATTACAATGTAGTGATGCCAGAGATGTGAGCATGTGACAGTGATGGAATCAACCTGGCCGACAGGCAAATAACAAAGTAAACCTCTAGCATTGCAAACTTAATAATAATAATAATAATAATAATAATAATAATAATAATAATAATAATAAGAGTAATAATAATAATAATAGTGTAGTTTTATATAGCGCACATATCCATCTAATGTAAGATGCTCAGGACGCTTGATGTGTGGACTAGGAACTCGATCAATGACTTTCTTCGCCCCTAAGGGTCCCTTCGTGCTGTGCTGCTGATACTATGGCTGTAGCTTGCGGCGCCCCTGCTAACTGCTCGGCCATTTGACTCACCTACTGCTAGAACTATATAATACAGGTCTCCTTCCAAATAAAGGTCTCCCTCCAAATAAAGGTCTCCCTCCAAATAAAGACCACTTCTAGGACCGGGGTTTCCATGGTCTTCAGTAGCTTTGGTCTCTAATTAGAATAATAAAAATAAAAGAAATTATTTAATTTGGAATTCACAGAAAAGTGGTCTTCAATTGGAGGTGGTCCAATTGGAAGGGTCTTTTGGAGAGAGACCTGTATAAAAAAAAAAAGCATTCAAGCAGAGGACAAACCTACCGTATAACAAATTGTCTGTATTTGTTTTATATCATTTTAGATATTTTATGAAATGGTAATGTTAATTTAATTTAATTTGTATAACCTTAGAGATATGTCATTGGTTGGTAATCTTTAGTATGTCAATATACAAAAGCCAACCTACAGACTTACTGTATGAGTACCATATTTCCAGAGGGATAAATTTGATGGAAGAACAGGTGTGAGTGGGATACTTGGGTAAATCATTCTTCCCGAAGGACGTTCTGATTCCTTTAAAGTGCACACAAGCCAGTTGTGTACAATCTAGAGTCTTTATCCTCATTCAGAAAGTGGGATTCAAACCTACCAATGATAGGCTATAGATGGCGGTGTTCCTGCTATACCGCTTAATTACCAAGCAGGCTAACTTCACCGTAAAGTACTCAGTGTTCCCAGCAGTTTCCCACCCAGGTATTCACTGGGCCCAGCATTGCTAACTTCATTGACTGACTAAAATCAATGCTACAGTTCTTTTGGTCCTCCTCTGTAATTTCTTCCCCCACCCTCCATAGTGTGTACTCCACCCGAACAAACAAAATAAGTCCAAGGCAAAAGGTATTATCAGATTAACAAGCATCCTTAAAAAACAGAATAAAATTGTGCTACTGGGAAAAACAGTGGAGTGTTATCACTTTCATTTCCATACACTTTGTTCCGAGTTAAAAGTTCAAAATCGATACTATACCTTTAAGACACGAAGCCATTAAACAATCCTTGTACTCTGCGATAAAACAAAACTGCAGGGGTATGAGTACTTGACCTTCGGTCGGAGGCATCACACATTATCCCAAAGGCATTTAAGCTTCATAAAAAATATACTTGTTTTTTACAATTTTTTTTTAAAACCACCGATGTTAGGCTACAGATAATGTTAACAGTTAACATTTGGTGCTGGAGGAACTTAATAATGATAATTTTCATAGTCGGAGACAGAACACTTTTTTCTTCAGGCCTGCTATATTGTATCAACCAAAGTGCATTAGCTTTTTCCTTAATTTAGATTTGTATGATAATATAAACTTCTAGACATAGCCTTTGTTTCACTTTATTAACTGCATAATAAGAGGTTCACTGATTTATGGATTCGCACTATTTTCATTATGTTTCCGCTATTATAATGATGCTGCCTTCACGTTCCAATTAAGAATTAATTTAAATTAATTGATTGGTCGACTCAAAATACCCTGATAACAACTGTGATGAAACTCTAGAAATTCTTTCTGTTAAAATCACATAAAAAGAAACAGTCTAACATTCGAAAGTGATAACCGTGCTATAAGATGCAGACGTCATGATCTGGGCCACAAGGGTTGGCCATTAGGAAGGGTTGGCAACAAGGTGTGGGCCACTAGCAACAGGCCTCTAGGAATGGCCTACAAGGGATATGCAACAAAGGGGTAAGCCAATGGGGAAGACAAGGGACAGGTCACAAGGAGTGGGGCACAAGTGGTATGAAATAAGGGGCGAGCTGCAATAAGAGGCAAGCTGCAATAAGAGGCTAGCCACAAGGCAAAAAAGGGGCATGCATCAAGCGGCAGGCCACAGGGCAGGCTATAAGGGAAAAGCCACAAATGGATGGCTACAAGGGGAAGGTCTAAGGGATGGTCCACAAGGGACACACAACAAGAGGCAAACAACAAAAGGAAAGCCAACAAGGAATGGACCACAAAGATCATGCCAACATTTTGAATTCATTCTAGCAGAACTGAAAATTTAGCTGCCAAAAGAGAATGTAAAGCCCAATACTTAAGGTAACACTAATATTAACAGTGTGTGTAATTCATAAGCTAAACATACAGTATAACCACAAAGGTAAGTGGGAAAGGACACGAGCAGATATTGCACCTATGACCTACATCTGTAATTAACCAACCGGGGTTATATAGATTTCTTACAGCTTAAGCCCATAATGAAGGATTCAAATTTGAGTACAATATTTGACTTCAATCCAAATTCTCCTGTCATATGCTTGACCAACTTTGCAGTTATTGCTGCATAAAATCTATCATTGTGTTTTACATGACATTGCCCTAGTTGTGCCTTCAATTATTAGATAAACTTCTCGAGAATATTTGCAGAGAATAAAAATGCAATGGCCTCATCATCCCAGCGAATGTTATCCAGATTGCCGTGTCAATAACGCAAAGTAGGAAAGTTTTTCTTTAAAACGGCCAATACACTTCAGATTGTTTAAGAAAACAATTATTTTGAAGAATTTATGAAGCATGTTGATAAATTACTATATTAGGCTTTCGATAGGATTCTTGTGCGGTGCATAAAAACATAAACACAAGGGAAACTTTGATGGCAATCTTAAATAAGTTAGCTGCATGGTACTTAAACTTTATCCATAAAAATAATATGCAATCTCTTGAATCAACTTTTTAAATTCCTAGTCTTAGGTAGTAATTCAGCAACGAGTTGTACACTCTAAACAAATATCAAAACAGCTTGAGACTTATTCGTCTTGGAGTAACAATTGGTGCAAACAAAATATGCTTCAAATAAAACAAACATGTTTTTTATAATGCTTATACTAAAGAGGGCAGTATTCTAATTCAAACACCATCTAATGTCATTTTTTTAATCAGCCTCTTCACCACCAGTTTACTTCCCTCTCCCACTTTTGTTTATTCTTTCTCATCAACTTCTCCAATTTTCTCCTTCATACTGTTCCTCCCAAACTCTTCCACTTGTTTCCTACATTTCCCCCACCCCCCCCCCCCCCACTCTTTCGTCAATGTTTCCTACATCCAAATTTTCCTCTCAACTTCCATTCTTCCCTCCCTTTTCTGCTATATGCTGTAACCAATGACAAGATTTGATTAACATGTGAAACGGCTCTTTTACATATTTTGCTATGTGGCTAATTACAATATTGATTAATATCACATTACCTCTTTTAATGTTTTACTTTGTGACTAATTACTGTATCTAATATCACATTACCTCATTTAAATATTTTGCTTTTTGACTAATTACAATATTGATTAATATCACATTATCTCATTTAAATATTTTGCTGTAACTAATTTATTATTTATTAATATCACATTACCTCATTTAAATATTTTGTTTTGTGACCAATAACATATTCTGATTACCATACTCACCTCATTTAAATATTTTTCTATGTGACTAATTACAACATTAATATCACATTACCTTATTTATATATTTTGCTGTGACCAATAACATGATCTGAGTACCATACTCACCTGATTTAAATATTTTGCTATGTGACCAATAACATGATCTGATTACTCACCTCATTTAAATATTTTGCTAGGTGTCCACGTCCACAACTTAAATCAAGAGCAACATCAAACTTCCTGTAATGATAGAATTTGATAAAAATCTTTAAAATTACATTAACATTACGAAAGGTCTGTTGATTTTAGAAATTTTTGATATATAGAGTAACTTATACTGTCGATGATGTACATTTGTGGCGAAGACAAGCCAAACCAGTCACTCGTCGCAAATTGTGTTTCAGAGATATTGGCCAAAACATGCTTGAACGTCAAAAACTAACCTTTATATATCTATACATCATTCTGTGCTGTTATTTTCTTCATTTTCAATGTTAAAACAACAATTTTTAACGATTTGGTGATAGTCTATGGCTGAGGAATACATGAAATCTTAAACTTTGAAGGCTAGTTTCTCAAATATTGTTCTTTAAACAGATCTATGTTTAAATGCTTGTAACTTCATAAGGAAATGTCAGACTTAAATGATTCTTTTACCATTTTATAGCTCTCATTTTACTGCCTGCAGTAATAGCCAAAAAGTCAATTTTTGCGACCAGTGTCCGGTTTGGCTGGTCTTTGCCACATTTGTATTATTCTTTAATTTCATTTTTTTGTCTGGCAAGATGAAGAACCACTTTACTAAATCAGAAAAAAACAAGTTTTTTCTGCCTTCACCTGACAATCTGACAATAAAATTTGCTAAACTTGCCTAATGGAGGCATACATAAAAAAAAGTAAGGCAGAAGGCAATGTAGTAAAAAAGTACAAAATCATTTTTGGGTTTACTGCTACAAAATCTTCATACGAATAATAAATCTTTATGAGATGGGAATAGAATATTTCATGAGATGTAATTCACCTCAGCTATGCCTCGCTGAATGAACCCTTTATATCTTTGAACGAATGAAATAATTTTATCCCATTGTACGAATGAAACACTTTACTTATATATGAAATGCAACACCTACTCTCTTATTAGTCAACTGTTTGATAGATTTATATTAGCCACATCATCTCCCATCATGGGGTCAAAAGGTCAAAGGTTGTGTACGGACAACATAGTCCGACATTTCTTTGCCTCTCCCATGGGGTTGAAGTTCATCCGCCTGAACAAAATCGTACGGCAAATAGAGCAAAAAAGTAACGAAAGTGATATCAGCCGAGTAATGAACTTTAATTCGCAGAATTAAACAATTAATTTATTCCAACACGACTTCTAATCAATCAATAAAGTGACAAAAAACTAAATAGATGTTGTACAACATAATGAATACACTGCTCCAGTGTTTGCTAAGACTCTCTGTACTTATTCTTGTATAATTACTTTCTTTATTAAGATTTCTTTGAGATGCTCTCTGTATAGTGCAACTCTCTGTATAGTGCAAAATAATTGTATAATGGTAGAACATACGAGGTCTTACCACGAAGCATGACAAATCGTTGATAACTTCACATTGAGATAATCTCCAAAATGAGTCAATGTCAAGATTTTATCAAATTCAGATTTGATGTTTTTGAAGACTTTGGTATATGATTTACATTAAAGTGAATTTTGTTAACCGTAAAAGTGTTCTCATACATATTCTGTACTTTTTCTAGTCTTTGTACAGGTTATATTTGAGGCTGATTTTCTCAAAACCAGGTTCTCATATATCTAAACTTTAAAAGCTCACATCTCTGGATGCTTGTCTATAATAGGACAGCCATTCAAAGACCAAGTTATGGTGAGACCGTACATACTGTAAAGCCCTATATTTTTGCATGACCTTAATTTTCGCGATAAAACAACTATCATAAAAATTAAGGGCACATAAAAATCATGAAATTCTGAATGATAGTTGTATCTCCAAAAGCAAAGCTATTACTAGTATACAACTGATATTTTATCAATAAAGATTTCGTGGAAACATTCTGCTTCTCTGTTATTATTTTTTAATCATTCAATTACATTATAAAAGTTAAATACAGTATTATAAATTACTGTCATATTATTATTCTGAAAATACTAAGCTTTATACTTGGCTAGGCTATGAGGTTGCATAGTGTGTGTGTTTGATTCTATTTTCAATAATCAGACTAAACACGCAACATAGAAACTAATGAACAGTATTATTAAGCGCACTCCATAAATTTAAAAAGTAAAAACAGCTACCTTGTGACATCACGTAATCTGTCTACTAATCTATAAGCAACCTAGAGATTGAAAAAAAAAGAAAATACAATGTTTTAATGAACCACTCTACAAATAAAATTTTTAAATATTCTAAACCAAGCATACACTTATTAAATGTTTGTGTGTTCAGACTAAATAATCAGACATTGTGTGGCCCAACGGTTAAGGCATTGGACTTTTAACCGTGAGGTCATGACCTCTGGACCAGTGTTCATCACACTGCTTGTGCCCCAGGGCAAGACACTTTATCTGCATTTGCCTATATTCACACAGGAGTATAAATGGGTACCCGGGATGGAGGAGAAGAATGAACTACGTGCATAATTAGAAATTTTCCCTGCAGAGCGGAGGAGTCTGCACGTTGTGTATGATTGATTCTGCATCCAATGACCAGGGCAAAAGCGCCTTGAGCCATTCTTAAGAAATGGATACATGCATTTTATAGATCATATTAAATAAAATAAAGCCAAATATTTTCTGCTTTTCTCTTACTCCAAATTTACACAATTTTTGCCAGCACCAGTTCCAAGGTATTTTATTAGCTTTAACAGGAACTACATTAATGTGGCAATATATCTATTATTGTCATTGTGGATTGATGTGAACATGTATCTACCATGAAGTGCCTCTTTAAGGCTGCTAGGTAGTCATGGACCATGCCCATACGCAATTCAGCATAATGACGCTGCAAGTTATGGGTTATTCTCCTACCTTTACCTTTATAATTGTCCATTTTTTTTAAAGAAACAACGAAAAACAAATAATTTTTGCATATGAGGCCTGAAACGCACGTATTAAAAGCGTCATTCATGCGCATGTGAATTCAGATTTCTATCGGAGCTTTCGCCTCAGCGAAACTGGTAGTTTGGTAGTTCTACATTTTGCGAAGCAAAAAATATGCGCAACCAATCAGAGCTCAGGAACCGAACTGCTGCCTTCGATTCGCACGAATAAATTCGCCTAGTGGAAAACCGGCTTAAAGACCTTTCCAGACTCTGAAAGTTCATTTGACAAAAACATGTGACATGCCTAAATACGGTAATGATGACATCACATCATGACCATATATAGGCACATCATGACTATATATGGGCATACAAGAGTTTTTTGTCAAAGAAAATTTGACAGTGTGGACAGAACTTAACCGACCATGTTTGATGATCAGACTTGGAATGTTAAGGTCGGTCCACACTATAAAATCTTCTTTGACAAAAAACTGTTGTATGCCCATAAGGATTTTTAAGTCTGACAGAAAAAATGTTGAATGTCTCAGCTCAGCGAAAAAACATCCACAACAGATAGTTTCTTCAACATTAATTTTCTAAAACAGTTTACGTGTATTGATGAATGCTGGTTATGTCTACAATTTTGACTTGTCTACGTTTTTCAGTGTCTCCAATAATTGATTGTTATAGACAAAAAAAAAAATATGATTGATGTGTGTATGTTGTTAATTCACAGCAGCAAGGAAGATATTTCAGAGGTTGCAGGTCTGGGGATAGTAACACTTTTACAAATCCTCATATTCACATTACTATTCATATCCATGCTTTGACCGTACCTCATCTTTTAAGTAATCATACACGTCGACGTTGTCTGCCATCGCAGCTCGGTCTCGTTGCATTTGTTTTGTTTTGCGGTCAAATACGTTCATTGTATGTTCGCTTGATGATCCTCCATGCTGCCACCGTTTTCGTAAAATTACATTTAAATCTGGTTTTAAGATCCTAGCATGCATATTTTTCATCAATTGAAAATAATTCTTATAATTCATTTCATTTAATAATCGTCTGTTGTGTAGATTGCAACACTGCAAGCTCCTCTCCTGGAATAAATTTCGAGAATGCTGTGATGTTGTTCGAGTCCTGCAAAATCTTGTTACATCACCACAACCTAGTAGTAACCGCCTCTGAACAACCCCCATCGAATCAATACACCAAATTGCACAAAGTTTCTTATAAAATTTTAATCTGGAGGGAGAAAAAATTAAAGTTAAATTAATAGAAATAATAAAATTATTAAACCATTTTTATTATTCATAAATATTTAGGTCACAAAGTTAATGAGAACTGATAGAAACCAAATCATGTTTGAAAAGCAGTAGTAACACACAATTAATGCCATATACTACAGGTTTGGAGGTGGTTTGGTGCAGTGGAAACGGTTTGGTTTCCCAACCTCGAGGTCAGGATTTCAATCTTTCGCTGTGTATTTCGCTTGTGTCCTTGAGCAAGGCACTTTATGTACATTGCTTCAGTCTACCCAGCAGTATCAGTCGGTACCAGCAAATTGCTGGCAGTAACCTGCGGGGGACCAGCATCGGAGCATCACCCTCTCATCCGCTAAGCTCCAGCCAATATGAGCTCTGTGGCTCGGCAAGGATTTACTTACTACAGTATGGGGCACAGCTCATATCCACTCTGCGGCATTGCACATACGTATCGTTACTGCCTGCATATTAATTGTACCAACTTTATTAAGCTTTGTATTCACTTATGAAAACAACAGTAAAAATATCTTTGGGAAGTCTATGTAACATTCAGCATGCTTCCAATGTAATATTCATCCAGTATAAGAAGAAATAATACCATTAATTCTACTTTTCTTAAATTACAAATCAAATAAGAATATTCAACTTATGATTGTATCTGTTTTAAAATACCTAAAATATTCTGGCTACACATATCTTGAACAACTTAGAAATAGAAAAATCTAGCCAGACACATAAATGTCATTACAGATGGAAACCTCCTTCTCAATATATCCAATACTCAATAGTTTATTTCTAAACTGTCACTTGCTTTTAAATACAGTATGTATATATGTATATTTATCTTGTTAAAAAAAAATCCCTAACATGGACTAACACACACCTATTCTTACACTACTGCTAGATTTCAGAATTAACTTTAGAGTAGGGCAGAGAGGGAGAAAATCCATTAGCAATTTCCAGAAGACGTTTTAAATCACGTCTTTTTCAATTAGCCGACATGAACATACAGCAATTTGCAGCGTGCAAGTAAATTTGAACTTGTTTTATTTTTTTGGAATACTGCTGAAAACAACAAGGGCTAAGACAATTACAATTACAACAATCACAACACATTTAGATTAGAGTTTCTGAAATTAAAGACTGTAGAAAATTAGACATTAACACCGACGGTGCAAATCAATTTGGTAAAATGGAAAATTAAAATGAGAAGAGTACAACATTAAACAAGACATCAATTAGCCTGAAAACATGTTCGACAGCTAGAAGGGGTGATATAATCTACTGAAATCCCAGAAAAGGGATATAATTCCCACAGGCTAAGTGAAAGGGATAATGTACATAATTAATCTCCTTTTCTACATGATCATCTTCTACAAATTCTGGAAATGGATGCAATTTTTCAAGCTGCTTATGAGGAAGTATTATTTGCAGCATGTGTTAGCACAACTTTCCCCACCCCGTTTAAAAAAAAAAACAATTGATGAATATTAGGATCAGCATCTCCTCCCCTCTCTTCTTAGAACTTGAGGGCATCATCTTCAATAACCTAAAGGAATTGATTATTGGAGGATCAATTTCAGCGACACCATTGCTGACTACAGTACTAAACTATTTGGGTTCCTGACTTGCAATCAGTCGCAAGCTTCTTCTTGATTTACAATTTATTACAACACTCTCCTACTTCAACAAACACAGACCGACAAAAAAACTATATAACTCAGCATCAAGATAATCCGAGTAGAAGTTCACCTGAGGGCGTGCTTGGCTATCAGCCAGACTATCTTGTCATTTCGACGTAGTATCTTCTTGCTATTAATCTGTGCTTCAATAAAAAAAAATCTCCTAGAATGTGGTAATAATTCTTTAATAGATCCAATAAGCGAGGTTTGTGTTACCTGATATTTTACAAATCTGTGTTCTATCGATACTCGAAAATGAATCAAACGACGAAATATGGAGGTAAATTATTGTAGCAATTAAAGTTGATCTTTAGACCAAAAAAACTCTGCACTGAACTGAAGAAGATACATAAGACACAAATAAAGTAAACTACAGTAAATGAATGTTTATACAGTGAAGCTTCAGCTGAGGGTAATGATACTGTAGACTGCTACATATGTAAACTTGAATTTAAATATATATTAAATCTCCGCCCAGGGTGTGCTTATTGTTGAGAAGGGTTTTTGCGGGGCGTTTATTTGAGGGAGCAATTTATTCGAGGGAGGCATTTGGTTGGGGTTATACGAGAAAAAAATAAACACCTTGAGGCGTATATTCGAGGGAGGCGCTTAATCTAAATGAGGTTCTAGGCGGGGGTGTCTATTTGAGGGGACGTTTATTCTTTTAACACAAATTATAAATTATTAAAATAATAAATACTGTAGGTATATAGCTTTAATTGTTCTTACTTTCATACATAAACATACCTATAAAACTCAACATTCAAGTTAAGATTAAGCCATGAGATAGAATCAGAATACTAAAGCACTAACTCTAATATATTTTATGTTCCAAGAAAATGCCGAGTTGTGTATCGGCACTCAAAAACATGGCTACCATAGATTCAGCTAATAAAAATATGATGAAGCATCGTTTTCAATTACACCCTCAGCTAGATTAATAATTTATTAATAATAATGATAATAACAATTAATTAATATTAATAATTAGTCTTATTTATGGTTGTAGATTAATAATTTAATAATTTATTTACAATAATGATAATAACAATTAATAAATAATAATAATTAGGCTTATTTATGGTTGTAGATTAATAATTTAATAATTTATTAACAATAATGAAAATAACAATTAATTAATAATAATAATTAGTCTTATTTATGGTTGTTATCTATATAGTATGCCTAAATGTGGTGCTTTTCTTAGGCGGCCATCTTGTTGAGCACTGATACACAATTCTACATTGCTTCATTGCCTAGTTTACACTTGTTATAATACCTCTATAGATTATCGTAAACCAAAAAAGTTGTACAAACACAAAAAACAGGGGCGGATCCACTAGGGACATGGGTGGATCCACTAGGGGCACGGGGGACACCTGCCCCCACCCCTGTAAAATTAAGTTTATTCTTCATGAGAAAAAAATATCTCAATAATTTGAAGAGAAATTTAAGTCTGATATTGGTTTCTATAAATGTTTAAACACAGTACAGTAGCTAATTACGCTGCCATTTAAAAGTGTTGAATGAAAGCCAGTTGATGGACCATTAAGGAGGACTTCTTAACAAGAGAACGCAAACTGATTCATGACTGTCTTCCCCAATTACACAAATTGATGACTGTTGCCGCAATTCCACAAATTGATACCTGTCATCAACAATTACCAACAGAAAAATTCTGAAATCAACTCGTTGATCAAACAAATGAATGAAGTGTAAGAAGTAGGGGCAGTGAAGGTGGGGTGATGCAATAAGGGTGTGTAATTAAAAAAGTACCCTTAATATTCCACGGATTTTTCAAATCTTCTCATCAAAGTTTTTGCTGCTGATTAAGGTTAAGTGAGTGACATTTACTAATTGGCAATTTTTGGACTGAGTGCCTAAATATTATAAATCAAAACAAACTGAAACGCAATACCTGTGAAAGTATTCTTTAGGGTTGTAAATCAGTCTCATAAGAATAAACAACTATCATATATTTGGGACAAGCCACAAAAAAGTGAGGTAAATTCTGAGTTCCTGGTTTCAGTGTCAATATTCCAATTTTAATTACCATATTTAATTGAATAAACGCTCCACTCTGAATAAACGCTGCCCCCCCCCCCTCCTTTGAATAAACACCACCCCTAGAGCCTCATTTGGAATAAATGTCTCCCTCGAATAAAGGCCTCCTAACTGTAAACAAATCTAATGGAAGCAACATCATTCTTAACACATGTAATAAATGTTCTACACCAGTAGAATCACATTATTTCTAACCTGGTTGGGACTGATAAGCCTTTATGATCACGCAATAACACATATTGACGATAATTATGTGTTGTAGTTCCACATTTACAGTGAAATTATGGGCGTCTTTTTGAGTATACGTATCCAATTTACACCAAAAAAAAATAAATGCCTCCCTCAATAAACGCCCACTCAAAAACCTTTCTCAACAACTGGAGGTTTATGCGAATAAATAATGTATGTAAAAAACCCAACAATTTATATGACAACATTATCCCAAAATTTAGTTTAACTTTTACAGTGACTTTTCTTTACAGTATAAACAAGTTCTTGTAATCTCTGAAGCTGCGATGAGGGCAGTATAATAGAGGCAGTAGAGTATTAAAACATGCTTAAATCATGGAGGAAATATCCTTCATGCTTAAATACTGTACACAGTGGCTTAAGTTATTAATATTATAATATTAGTTTTTCGGCAGAGGTTCATATGCCATTAATTACTACTACTAACAGTATTGGTATTGGTGGCGCACTTCACAAAAAAAAAAGATCTATTAATTAATGAATTAATCAATCATTCAGCCGAGTACTTTTAGAGCTCCTCATAATAAGAGAAAATTTTTCAAATAATTAGATTAAATAATTTGTACAAAATTAAAACTAACAATTGAATACAAGACGCGATTCAAATTCACAGCCTTTGGCTCCTCATCGGAGCTGAAAATCGCAGAGCTAATAAGATAGAAATATTTAAATAATTAGAATATTCACTTGTACAAAATTAAAATGTCTTAAAATGAAAAAAAAAAATATCAAATGAGAAAAAAAAATTAAAATTAAATACCAACATGATTTGAACTCATGCCATATGGTTCCTTAGAACCATCGCATGAAACTGTCGCATGCCGACGGTGGTTAAACCAACTGAGCCATCCATACGATATGTATAAAGGTGGTATTGGCAGTAAAGTACAGTCCTTGCTGAAACCCACTCAGCCATGAAAAAAAAACACAAAAAAAGCACACAATCTGCAATTTAGTTATTCCTAGAGCTCCTCATCGGTGCTAAAAAAAATGTTTTTTTAACATCAATTTTTTTCTCTCTTTCTCATACCAATTGTTTATGTAACTCCGCCACCTTGAACAGTACAAGTACTGAAAGTGCCTGCAGTTACAAGTAAAGAATAAAATTAAAATATCTCAAAAAAAATTATTATTGCCACTGCAATTTTCTCCAACCCAGGGATCAATAACCTTGTGCGAAGGCTTCCGGTCTCCCAACGGCTATGAAGGTCTCATCAATCTTAACGAGGACGCAATTAACTGTCTAGAATCCTCAGATTTTTTTAGTTTCTGAGAATGGAATCGCACAAACAACGATAGTCAAGGAAGGTGGACAGAGTTTGTTACTCCAAAGGAATTAGTATTATTGAATATTCTGCCTCGGAGTTTTGTAATAATAACGAATCGGATTTTGTAGGGCATTCACTTCAAAGGAACGCTAGAGGTGCTTGAGAGAAAACACGAACAAAAGAGAGGCTCAAGAGAGAATTTCATTACACCTTGTTACGTAAAACCTCATAATACCAATGATTTTCAAAGTAAAATGTTATTTTTTGCATAATCTATACTATTTTTACCTGTTTTCTAAGATACTAAATTGTTTACATCTTTTTGTACTAATTTACTTTATTGACAGCATTTCCAACCTTGTAGTATATTTTTAATTTTTTCCTACTCTACAAACTAGAACAACACCTGAACCTTCCCTACCTCTTGCTTTAAAATCTCAATTGCCTACCAAATTACTGATGTATGAAGAGAGTAACTCTCTTCATATAAGTTTTCTGAAGCTAGGCAATCACTGCATCATAAAACAGTCGTACAACTGTCGTACAACAAATCTAACTTTGCTCCATGTGAACGCTAGACGGTGGCAGTCTTAACTGATCGTACTCAATAATTAAACAGCTGCACGCACGTCATGTCGTTGCGTTTCTCCACAGAATCGAATCGGCCGACAACCATCAGGCACAGTGAGTATCCAGCTTAAGGTACTGTATTTTTCGACAGATTTCTACCTCAAACATTGATCCAACATCTAATCAGATTTAAAGTTTGTACTATAAGACTAAATATGATGATTTATTGCTCTCGAACTAGGAAATTAGCTAATGAAAAAGATGAATTAACAAGTCAGTAAACTCCTAGGGCTTCACAAGGCCCCTTATCACTGGGTATAAGTACACATTTACCATCTCAACACCATACTTGATTTTATTAAATCTCATAAATACCATCATAAATATACGGTGTTACTATTATTACGGATCTCCAACCAAAATGAATCCGTCATAAGTATGTAAGTACAGATAAAGATTTGAGAGAGTAACATATAAATTACAGAGTGAAATTAAATTATTAAAAAAATGAAACAATATAAAACAAATTAATAATCGTGTAACTGGAAGTGAATTTATCATTTGTAAATAAACACCAGTGTCAATTTTTGATAATTTTTATGTCACTTATAACTAAGCAAGTTAATTTCAAATAGCTTTTATAATTTTTTTTTTTATTTTCAAGGGGTATTACATCTTTATATACTTAGCTCTTATCTGAGTTTCACCATTCCAGATTCACTTTGTTTGTCCCAAGAACGAAAATAGGTTAAAGCTTCATACGAACAAGAGTAAATATTCACTGGTGGTGATGCATTTCAGTACACACTGCAACCTGGGGGATCAGATTCACTAGCAATTAAGTGGAAAATCTGTGGTTTAGTGGTTAAGACACCAGGCTAGATCTGGAGTGCAAGCTCAGTGGTCTAGTGGTTGAGGCACTAGGCTAGTTATCTGGAGTGCAAGCTCGGTAGTCTAGTGGTTGAGACACCAGGCTAGTTATCTGGAATTTGTGGGTTTGATTCCCAAAATATAACATGCAAGATTTTTTTCCAGATTTGGGAATGCACTGAGCATTCAGTATGATAACACATCAGAGGGTAAAAACATTCCTAAGAGCAAAATACAGTACAGGTATTTAAAATAAAAATGTTATGTGACTAGAATCAATTGTCAATGTATGCTATACATTTCTTAGTTTACAGAGACAAATTAATGTAGATTGTTTCTGTGGTAAGAACATCCCTTAAAAATTAGTAGAACAGTCCACTTCAAAACAGACTGCTATGTCACTTATAACTAAGCAAGTTAATTTCAAAATGCTTTTATAATTTTTTTATTTTATTTTCAAGGGGTATTACATCTTTATATACTTAGCTCTTATCTGAGTTTCACCATTCCAGATTCACTTTATTTGTCCCAAGAACGAAAATAGGTTAAAGCTTCATACGAACAAGAGTAAATATTCACTGGTGGTGATGCATTTCAGTACACACTGCAACCTGGGGGATCAGATTCACTAGCAATTAAGTGGAAAATCTGTGGTTTAGTGGTTAAGACACCAGGCTAGATCTGGAGTGCAAGCTCAGTGGTCTAGTGGTTGAGGCACTAGGCTAGTTATCTGGAGTGCAAGCTCGGTAGTCTAGTGGTTGAGACACCAGGCTAGTTATCTGGAATTTGTGGGTTTGATTCCCAAAATATAACATGCAAGATTTTTTTCCAGATTTGGGAATGCACTGAGCATTCAGTATGATAACACATCAGAGGGTAAAAACATTCCTAAGAGCAAAATACAGTACAGGTATTTAAAATAAAAATGTTATGTGACTAGAATCAATTGTCAATGTATGCTATACATTTCTTAGTTTACAGAGACAAATTAATGTAGATTGTTTCTGTGGTAAGAACATCCCTTAAAAATTAGTAGAACAGTCCACTTCAAAACAGACTGCTATAAAATATTTTAAATGAATCCTGGATCATTGAGCAAAGGATAACAGATTGTGGACACACATATAGAGGGCATACCATCATTTTCTTTGCACATCAAACAATTATCTTACACTATGAATTTTTTTAACAATTATCAATTTTAATTCATATCCCTATTGTATTATTATACATCTTTCATACTATTATTATAAATTTAATCAGAACCATAATGAAACCCAATGCTTTTTACACTGAGTGTGCGATCCAGAAATTTTAGTCTTTCCTTAAAACTCACCTTTTCTAATAGATTAATAATTGTATAGTGCTGTGAAACAAAAACACAAAGTTGAAATAAGTAATGAGCAAGTGCCAAATAAGTAAATTGTTAAATTAAAATTTAAGAAAATTATATTCTTTTGATCATTTATGATTTGAGTTTTAATATTACATCACATGTAAGTTTTATTAAAGCTCCACCTAATTTTTTAAAAAGTTCACCTCCAGTTAGGGTTCCGTACTAAATCCCCTTGTGGGGGTCAAGTCAAGGAGGAGACATTCTTGCAGCAAAACATTTTTTAATGACTTCTCAATATTTATCGTTGATAACTAGGCATACTGTACTGCAGGAACACTGGCTAAAACACAATGGAAATAAGCCATCTTTTCATCTGCAAGGCTACCAAGCCAAAAGCCAGGTACCAGACTGTAGAATAAGGCCTGCGCAAGGAATATATCCCTCCCAAAAATTAGGCCTAGAATTCCGTCCGCACATTTGGGAAAATAAGGGCAGATGTCTGTAAAATTTTTGCAGAAAACTAGGCCTATAACACAACCAATATATTTAGCACTAGTTATGGTTCTGTGCTATTGGCTTGGGATGTACCAGGCCAGACACTTACTGCTTCGTACATTCTTCATAAATCCCCGGCTAAGTCTCCGCCACCGTTTTGTTGTTGAATAAAAACGAATCAAATTGAATTGATATGTTTTATAGTTTGCCAGTTGAAGGTCTCGTAAATCCCTGACCAAGTCCCGGCCCATGGCCTCAGGCGTTTTCAGATGCGAGTTTTCTTCTTCTAGCCTAGGCCTAAGAGAAACTATTTCAATGGACGTCTGGACGTCCATTATGTTTTAGTATTCAGATCACAAAAACTATGTTTTGAGAAATTCAGACACTGAATTTTGCAATTACATTGATTTTTAAAAACAAGACTTTTGTCACCGGCTCACTGATGTCTATTTAGTAATAGATGATTCGGATTTGAGTGTTGAATACCATTTAAAACCATATTAATTATTTTTAAAAAATTCCACCTAACTGAGACTATGTGTAGGGAAACTCTACTTTCCAAAAACCGCAAACCATAATGTTTTTGATTTACAGATGATACCTCAAAAACCGGGTCAAATTTGCACGGAAATTTGCTAGGAAAATAGGTGCACAGAATCGTATTTATCTGCATATTATACATTACATTAAGATTATATCAGAGCCTAATTTTCAGCAAAACCTGAGCGGAAATCGCCCCTTATTTTCAAAATGCGCAGACAGATTTCTAGGCCAGATTTTTGCACGGAGGATATATACCCCACGCAGGCATCACTATAGTTTGGCCCTGTCCTCCACCACCCAAAAAAAACAAAAACAAATGCTGTTTGGAGCTTTATAGGATAAATGTCTTCATCTATCAAAATAGTTGTAAATGTTTAGTATTCAGATCACAACTCATAGTCATACGCATACCAGGCATGAGCTAACCCACTTGCCCGACACCAGGACATGTATTTTTTACGGTCGGACAACAAGAATTTTAGGGACCACTTATCTGTGGACAAGCACTTTTAGAATAGGCTATTTCACCATGTAAATTCACAGTACTTAGTACACTATCCACAGTATAGTATATTAACAAATTGGTGGCGCACAAAGAAATATCAAACAGAGAACCGACTTTGCCATTGTTACGCACCACACTGCGTGCATCAACTTAGGGTGACCAACACTCCCGCGATTTATTGATGGTTGAATAGAAAAAAAATGTAGGCATACTTAATACAAAATTTGTTATTTTCTGCAGTAAAGATTGAAAATGAATACTTAATTGTTAAATTTTAGCCAGATCTGTTTTAAGTGTACACATTACAGCTACATATTTTCGCAAGATATCACACCTGTTAGCTGTCAGCCGTCTGGGCCTGCTGCACGTGGTGTTTAAAATATAAATATGCACTGGTCTAGTCAATAAATACCAGATTTATTTAAAGACTTTGAGCACACAGCCATTAGTATCGTTGATTAGTTGAGTTGGACGACATGAAATGTCTGGATTTCAATACTAGGAATTACTTTCAAGTACGAATATGAACAGCAGCCATTAGGCCGACTTCAAAAAAGGCCTAGTCTATTTCATTTGGGCGTGTGAGGAAGGCAATCTAGACAGACTAAAGAAAGGGTAGTTAAATTGGGATTTAAAGTTGTTAAAGTAATTAAAAATCATTCACAAGTGATGGAGATAATGTGCATATAAAATCCAAATCTTGTAAAACTGGAGTTAACAATAGTGACCGCTCATCTCTCGTAGAGAGGTAGGCAATTTTATTTATTTTGCAATAAATGAAATGAGGATGTGTGAGGCTGTAAAATATTCCCCACGTAAAATATTAGGCCCCGAAATCCGTCGCCGCATTTCGAAAAAAATGAACCAATTGAGGCCTTCATAGTAGGAACACATGTATTTATGATTCTGCACATCTATTTTTCTAGAGGTTTTCCCGTGCAAATTGAATTGCATTTTTTTTATCCTCCGCAAAAAACGACGACGGCCTTTAAACACGCAATAAGAAAGTAATCAACACACTCCTACTGTACATACATAGAATATTATTAACAATGTTTATTTTATTTGAATTTCTCCATATCATACATTATTGAAATTCTTGCAAATTAAAAAAAAAGAAAGAAAAACATGTTTGCCTGATCAATGCAGTATGCATGTAGGCCTGCTGCAGGGCCATACATAGCAAACATATTTTACTTAATTGTGTTATAGTTTATGATTATTGCGCAATAATATTATTGGGACAAGTAAAATTGTCTTCAGGACAAGTGAATTTTTCAAAAGTACTTGTCCAGGGACAAGTGAAAAAATATAAAATTCCCTCATGCCTGCATACAGGGTATACTGCGGCTTCCTACCCTTGAGGACAAGCCCTGGCAGGCCATTGGCCTAGCCTAGTAGTAGAGATCCCATACATAGGAAGGGGAGAGGGAGGGCGACCCTTTCTTTGTTTGCAAATCGTTGACATTGTTGTCATATTACATCCCTGGATGCTCCCGGGTCTGCGGGGGACAAGAATATCTGTACATCTGTGCATAGTCCCAGCCAAGTTTCCACTATAGCCTGGGTCCGGGGACCCAGACTACAACTGACAATGAATTACATAGGCATTTTAGTAGGCCTATACCTCCCCGGACCCTGGATCCTAACACAATACATCAGACTCAGCTCAGGCTAGGCTAGGCCTACAGCCGTACGGGCCTACCGAGGCCTAGCTAGCACATTTCGGAAATGTTGGCCTTAATGAAGTTCAACAAATTTAAGGCATATGTCATTAATAATGATGAACAAAATATACTTGACATCATATTAATAATGCTTCATCGACATTAAAAACTCACCACTTAATAGGTTGCAATCAGTAAGTTGTTTTGACCAAGCCTAGCGGTTTTTTTTGTACACAAACAACACATGGGCCCAAAAGATGGGGAGGAGCGAGCCAAACCAATCGGCGAAGTAGGGCGCCATCATGTGATAAAGCTGCACACAAAATGAAAAAGTATAACAATTTTAATGTAGGGCCAGCAGTATTATCATTTAATTTTTCATAAGGCGAGAATTTTTTTATACCTTGTTTCGCGAACTTATTTTTTTTTTAATCGTCAGAGCAGGACAAAAAAAAAATTTGTTTTTGTAAACTAACCACTTTAAATCAAAATACTAAACAAACGCAGTATACAATCAGTATAGATATACCGAAGTATCGTCAGCGTAGGCATTGATCCTCTAGTTATTCTTTAATTGAAATTCATTGGTAGATAGGGATAACAGAATCGTCGGGGAATTGACTCTGTTCGACAGATGTACTAAGATGTTTGATACAACATTTACCAGTTTAACTCTTTTGGATTTGCCCAAAATGAGGATTGACAATGACATTTATGTTGAAGCTTAAGAGTGGAAGCTTATGATGTTGGTGAGTAAAGTAGAAAGTCAAAGAAGATAGATCGATCAAGATGGGCGTCAATTTTATAGAGTAAAGTTATCGAAGCATCATTGACACTTCGTTTCTATTTGTAAGCAAACTTGAGCGGACCAAGATGCGAGCCACGCTTTTCAAGTGGGCGATGTTTGATTAATTCAAAACACTTAGAGGTAGAGTATGAGGGCAGTAGGTCTGAAAGCATTGAGAGTATAATAGGATTCGGTGAAATAGATAAGAATTTCCAAAGAGAGTGAACAATATGCATTCAAATAAACCACTGAATGGAAAAAGCATATTATCAGGAGCGATTATCAGTAAATGCTGATGTATAGCGAAACATCGATTAAGTCATTTTTTAATCATTTTGGCTCAGCACCGAAAAACATACGGTAAGCATTCTAATTACAGTATCATGTTTAAGGTGAGTTCTCACGTCCTTTAATACCACCACTTTGTCTTCATCATCATAGGTATAACATAATCATCATCATCATTCTTATCTTTATTTCTGTCGTCATTATCACCCTGAACATCATCACCACTCATTAACATCATCGTCATCATAACATATTATCATTATCATCATCCTTATCATAATCATGATTTCTCTGGTAGCCGACACGTGTAGTGAAGATTTCCATTTTTTAGGTACCATCTCACAAAAGATAAATAAAATTATGATTATGGTAATGAAAAACGTAATCATTACATAATCCTTATCATCATCCTTATAATCAACTTCATCATGCAAACTTCATGATAGTGCACGTAGCTATTCATGTAATGACGTCATAACTTTTTTTACCAAGACAGCAAAATAAAATAGACAAAATATGATCATCAGTCAGTATCGATAATTTTAATAAACTTTTTCGACAGTTTCTAATTTCAACCCTACAACACCACGTCACGTGATGTATACGTCATCGGTTTGTTTTCCTTAATTACGTGCGTTACAAAATAATTATCACAGAACGTTAGTTTATAGAATGGACGTGCGTGATAATACCGAACACTTTTCTAATCACATATTTGAAACTACAATTTGTTTATAAATCCAACTTTTATCCGCTTATGCATGGATATTTGCACGTACCGAATTACAGTACAGTAATATAATTGACGTCGTTTGCACAGAAAGATTTTGAACCAATCACATGCGAGTAGCTAAGCCATGTGACCTCGAAATGATCATCAAAACAATAAAATATTGAATTTGAAAAATTAATTATTCATTATTCCTGTAAACATAATAACAGATAATTTAAAACAGAAATTCTAGCAACATCAACTACAGCAGTGAATAGAATTATATTATATCGGTGTACATGGATGCTTTTGTATCCATGTACACCTACACTAACAACATAATATTCAGTGTGATTGTCTATGTATGCCCAATAAATAAATAATTGTTCCACTCTTGTAAATATATTTATGACTAGGCCTACACGGTTGTCGTCTAATATCTCCCTTATATAACTGGTATAATATAGAGACAGCCTCTTTGGTATTAAAAACATAAAAGGCTACAACGCAAGCTGATTTACACAATGTTCAGTATATCAGATGTGTTAACGGAAACGTCAAAACGGTATTGTAAGGCTTTAGCAAAAATTACGACATAATTATGACCGCGATCTATTATGATATAGGCCTACGGCATAATATGCGACATGTGACATATAAGAATGAACAATACCCTAAACTGCAAGTCTGAATCGGAGATATGAGATCGATGGTGCGAGCAAAGACGCTAACCACAGATTAGTATCCCGGATCAGAGATTCTCAGTGTTGCACTTTTCATTATTCAGTCCGGGAGATCATGACGATGATGATAATGATTACAAATGTGAGGGATTTTCTCCGTATAATAAATATCAATGAACACAAGGAATACAAAAAATCAATACAGCCTTAGGCCAAGCCTACTGTTGTCAGACAAGAAAATAAACAAATCCATCTAAAATGGAGCACAGTATTCCTTGACAAGGTCAAAATTACTGTATAAAGATAATTTTTGTCGATTGCTAAAGGAATAATCATACCATCATCACGGGAAAAGTAGGCTAATACACCTAATCGTATACAACGTTGATTAGAATTCGTCAGGGACACATCATTAACTATACTAAAAGAGTGAATTCACTGAAAATGTGATTCTACGAGAGTAGATAGCCTACTGATGATCACATGACTCAATGACGTAACATAATTAAAAATGGCTCAACCGTTTGCCTGTAATATGATGCATTTAATGGAAAGATGAAGAACACAATTTGATATTTGAAATCAAGGAAAGAATGAATAACAGCTAATTCAAATTACGTCATTAGGTTTATGCTACCTAATTATTCAGTGATAACGGACGTTATAATTATCGACGAAAATTCCAAGAACTTATCACACAACGATAAATAACGAATATATACGGGGAAAAACCAATCCAAACGCTTATGTGCATATGTTCAAATATCAAGTGTTCTGGCGATCAATAATAAATAAGCAGTGATAAAAGAGCCAGTGATCATCATTTATACCGATTATCAATTGGATAATCACAATTCGTTTTCATGACAACATAAATCCATTAATCATTAATGGAATTTGTTTACAAATAATACATTAGGCAAATAAAAAAAAATTTTAAAAACACAGGATCCGAGTTAGTGATTTAACAGACATTTCCGGAGTGTCAATCAAACTTAACAACTGACCAATCAGAACAGGGTAAGGAATACGCGCACGTAAAAAAAACGTGTTGACATACATTTTACGCTTTGGGGCCTTAGCAACTATATCCAAGGGGCGGGGCTTAGCGGAAAGGTCCATCACGTCATAGCTCTTTGTATCAAACTTTTGAGAGACACTGTACATACGATAAAATAACCTCAATAGAAACGAATTTTAATTACTGTATAATTATATATAATTATAACTCTGGGTATAAAACAAACGCATACAATACATCGCTTGATAGCTGATGATCAAGTTGATATGATATCAATTTCTATTTGAAATCATGACTTACAGTAGGCCCACTGGGTACAGTATCTAAATAAATTATTGAAAGTATGATATATAATATTATGCAACACGGTACTATATATGCATTTGCAATGAAAATAATTGATTCAATTTATAGGAAATAAGTGACTTGGCATCTCGTCTGTACAATGGGGCTTGCAGATCACAAGAAGATGAAGTTGTCATAAAGAATTTCAATCAAAGATGACAACATTTTGAGGTTAATTACAGATACAAGCTAAAAATGGCATTAAAAAACTAAGTTTACTCTGTAAACAAATATCACATGCATAGGAGAAGGGTGACCGATAAGGGAGAAGAATGACTGAGGGTGAGAAAGGGGAGGATAAAAAATGAAGGGTAAGGAAAGAGAAGTAATGGATGATAGGAGAGACAAGATGATGAAAGGAGTGTGGTGAAAACGGGGGGGGGGGCGAGGGGAAGTATGGTGGATAAACTGATGGTGAAAGAAAAGGAGTAAATGATATTTTAGTGGAAAGATAAAGGTTGAAGTAGACAAAATTCATGGATATCAATATTCGTAATTATTCATATCTAACAACAACTGTGAAGCATTAACTCAATGACGTACCAAAACTAACTTAACCACAATGTGGTTACTCATGAACATCAAAGAGTACCGGTATAGAATTGCAAGAAGTCCGCCCCGATTTTGTATGCACGCAATAAAACGTTAAACAGACAGTTTACTGCCACAAGATAGGGAGTGCCCTATTGGAATTCAAATGGAGTGCGCTCGAATCTCATCTTTAATGCCACTAAGCGAATCTCGTCTTTTCGATCCATTAGGTGAATTTATTCGCGCAAATCAAAAGCGTCGATTCATGTGCTTGCGCATTCACATTCCTATCGGAGTTTTTGCGAAGGGAAAAAATGCGCAATCAATCAGAGCTCAGGAAGCGAACCGACGCTTTGATTCGCGCAAATAAATTCGCCTAGTTGAAAACCAGCTTTAAGGACACGCCCCTTCATGGCAGTAAATTTAGAAACAGGATTACGTTCCAACGAAACCACGAGAGCTTTTTCTTGCAGTTCTATGCTCTTTGTTAACACTAATGAAAGACTTGGATAAATCATATTAATAAGATTTTATCAACGGCAGTACCGCATACAAAGTTACTCCTGTAGTTGAGATAGTTCCAGTGGTGGTGCTATTTAGGAGCCAGGAAAAAATTCTTGGCACAACCATTGGTTTGAACCAATCAGAATTAGAGACGGAAACTCATTGAATTCAATGATATCCTAACTGTAAAAAAAATTCCACACATGCACTATATCCTGTTGACGTTAATCAACAGTGACAGATTAATTCACATTACTTTGCAATCCACTGTTCCGCAAATCTGACTAGATATAAATGATTTAGTATAACATAATAGATAATTTGAATTAATAATGATAATAATGCAATTTTTAAAATTTCAATATTTTTAAAGTCATTAATTATAATATTAATTTAAAAAAAATCATAAAAAAAGATAATACCAAAGAATATATGTTGCCTTAGTTATTAAATGACTAAATTCATTTGATAGGGTTAATTAACAGAATTAATCTTGATAATATATAATTATATATATAAATACATTTATATATATGCATATATATACATATATTATATACATCTTGATATAACAGAGATTATATATATATATATATATATATATATATATATATGTAAATCTTGATATAATAGAGATGTATATATATATCCAATGTAATTGGTTGAAGATGTAAAACCTGCAAGTGAAAAAAATGACTCAAACCAGATTTAAACGTTCTGTTGCTTGATATGCATTGAACTAGGCCACATATTGAATTTGAACACAGTCAAGGGTAATTCCTTTCCCTCTCTTTGTAAATACGGAACATCAGTAGTCCTCAAAGCACTCACATGGAAAAGAGTGAACATGAGAGTGAAGGAAGTTGCTTTCAATCATATTATAACTCAGCACAATATATTTTTTCACTTGCAATTTCCTCATCTCTACCAACACTCTGTGTATATATATATACATGTATAAATAAAATGAATGTATACAAATGCATGAACATAATTATACACAATTTCCTTCAATTTATATATTTTTTCATTGTGTATGAGGTGTATATGGAACAACTCCCGAAGTTTTATTACTTCCGCAACATACCAAATGCTCTTCCTGGTTGTCGTAGGTTGATAATCAAAAAAGTTTGCTCATTTGACT